ATCTTCCGTTCAAAAATAAGATGCAATAATATCCCGATTCTCTATTTTTGTCATGAAATCGCTTCAATCTCAAAGGTGTGTCGTAGAGAATGTATTTTCCTGGATTATGTTAATGTTCCTCCAGAATGACCATACGTTTGTCGGGAATGAGATAAGATGAGCGTTCTTCAATATTATAAAATGAACATTGAATAGATATGAACACAAGCGAAAACGGCCATCGATTATGCTTCCTCGCGTTAAAATGGAACAGTTTGATTGGCATAGATAAATTTTGGAAATTCAGATGAGAAAAAAACTTCCGAAATGATTTAAATAAAAAAACACACCATAGCGATAAGAAATGGAAGAGATGGATGAAGTTGGTGAATGATAGGTGCTATTGGGAACATCACAGCGATTAGCAATGAACTTGTTATAGTGAGTTGTGGAGTTCGAATTGGAAGGTGACTTCACTTGAATGCAGACGTGGATATTTTAAGGGTATTGAATAAGTCTTGTTTGAGACGACATTAACACTTCGGTTTAAAAGACAAAAAAGTGAGATTATGTTAGATTAGTTAATGCACACCCATTCATGTGCATAAATTTCCATTATAATTCATCAAAAAATAAAGCTCATGCAACACAAACAACGCATTTACACTAAACAACTCTGCAATCAACACTCCACTAAATTAAACAACTCTTAAAACTGATTGGTGATTATCGTTGCAGAACAGATTGATCGTATACTCACACTAATTATCTGATAGCTACTCAGAAGGTTGTACTAAAAGTGAAATTTTGATGTAAATAACTCGTTACTTCTTAAGATAATGAGCAGGAGGTACAGTAATAGGAAGGTGATAATAATCAGATATATGGATGCAGCACTGGGTATATCAATGAAAGCAGTGCACAATTCGATTACTTATGCGGCCAAGATAAATGTCTGAGAGAAACAAGCAACTCGATCATCGTTAATGATCATCAATTCTTTGATCAACGAAAGTCGTTTCCAAAATTTTTAGTCATCAACCGCTAATTCTTTCAGTTCATATATTGCTAAAGTCTTTTCACACTAAATTGAGCGAGTTCGGTCAGTGAAAAATGCACTGATTTGATTAATGGAAAATTGCTGATGCCCTGGCAATTGAACATTAGCCATGGAAACTTCCGCATCATCCATTTCAGGGTGGATTATTAAAGAATGACGATCACATGAAGGCTTTAGATCACGAAACGAATCCTAATCCAAATCCATAATTAATATCACCCCAAATCCACTCGAAATCTACCATAATCGTTATCAAATCTTTTGTATAGAATTTCCAGTCGGTTTTCGACTGATATTCTTCCGCACAGCAAAAAACTGAATATAGCAGTAATGATATTCCAGGAACACTTTAATCTTGAATATTTTTTGACAATGATGCTTTTATCTAAAAGTAACAAAATGACAAATTCAAACATTTGCTTTTGAAGAGAGCGTTTTTCAAGAAGATCATTCTCAAAACCATTTCATTGTTAAGGAAAACTTTTAGGTAAAAACAGCTGCAAAAGAAAGGATCTGATGAAGCGATAGATTAAATTCCATCAATCATTCTTCCAGATGAAGTTTAAAAAATTCGTAAAAAATTTGACCTTATTGTTGGGATTTGCTAGAGTTATCGTCAGAAAAATCAAAAACTACACCATTTATCACCAGTCAACGATTGTCGATAAAGGGTATATCGAAGTTCATGTCGTTTGAGGTATATGTATATCATAACCTTTGGATCTATATACTTGTTCTGAGTTATCATAACTTCGTCAATCTTACGCGAGTGTTTTCAGTATTTATGTAACGTAAATGTTATAATCTAAGGTGACGTTTGAAACTTGAAAAATATGAAAAGTTGAGGTGATGACTCCTGAGAAAAAAGAGAGAAGAATAAGAAGTATAGATAATTTGAAGTTCGAAAAATGAATCGGAAACCTTAAGTAATAAATTCGCTTGAAACATCATAGCAGTTGATAGGACATCAACGAGCGATTGTCCGTTAGGCAAAAACGACTTATAATTGTCATTCGAGCAAACATCAGTATCTTCATTGTCATCCTTGATCAACGACGATTTGATCGATGATATCAATGGTGACGATGATGTGGTCACGTTCGTGTTCGGTGACTCTGCCCCACTGCTTGATTCAGATAAGGATTTTGGTTGACTGCACGTGAATATTGGTCGTTCCACTACCACCTAAAACATATCGTTGAATTGACTCAAGTATTCGAGTAAATTTACGTTAGATATCAAGAGACTTTTTAGATGCATTCGACTGCAGGACATCATTAGTCCGCACAAGATGAATTACTTAGAGGAATACGTGATAATTTCTCGAATTCAGAAAAGTTTAACTGCGTTAACGAATCGTTTTATTGACTCGTTCACAGATGAGAGTTTGACTCTAATTTTACATGGACAGATAAAGTGATCTGAATGATGCAGACAGAAATTGTACCCACAAAAGCACGAAATAATGTCATATAAACAGCAATTTTGGAATGCAACACAAAGATGTAGTAATTGTATCGTATAAGTAATCGTCTCAAAAACGCCACCTGTGTTGGGACAGACAATCGGAATTTCTTCGCCTCGGGCGCTCCTCCGGAAGATGCCATGAGGCTCATCTTCCTTGCAAATCCTCCAGTTGAAAGAGATCGTGACTTATGCTCTAATAATAGAATTTCGCAACGTCTTCTCAAGCGGAAACGAGCCGATGAATATGTTTGTAAATAAGAGTTTATATCTGAAACCATATCACATCATTCATATCGATAACATGCAATATTCTAATAAACGAATGCATCGCATCGTACGTTACTAAAACAATACAGCGGGTAATTCATTCATCGATAATTATCATTCCATAAGTAATGAACGAGTGAAGTAGGAATTCGTTTGTTTCTTTCGAAACATTAATAGATATTATATTGGTGATGTTTCAGTTGGATATTGTCACAAGAACGTGTCGTTATATAATAACGAATTCAATAAATGCTTCAGATATTCACATTCATGAATAACATGAAGACAGACTTAAGCGTGTGATCAGAATCAAATCAATATTCAAACTGTTCAGGTAAATGAGCAAAATAAGGACAGTTTTATTAGATGCATCAATGAGATGTATGAAGTAAATGGGTGTCGTTTCTAAATGCTGTTTGCAATTCGGCACTTATCATTATCGAAAAAAAAGTGAAAAAGAATGTTCATCAGTCGGATAAAGTTGCCATGAATTGATTGAATAAACATCAATAGCGGGCTGAGACCATGAGTTCAATAAACTGCTTTGAAGACACCTCATAATATCATTTGAGGACACCTTATAATAAATGCTTATAAATGATATCATCAGAAAATTTCACTGAACTCCCGAACATTATGATAATTCATTTCTGGACGGTTTGAAATCAGAGAGAGAGTTGAAAAATCGCTTCAATTCGAAAATTTGAATTATTTTATTAAAGAACGATGTATAACCAAGGATGTAAATCACATGAGCGGAAGAAAATTTCATCAAGAAAGATTCGGATGGGATGCCTGAGGAATGTTAATCCTGACTTCTAAGCGATAGTCAAACGAAGTGCATGAATAACCATAAACAACCAACCATCTCACCGCAAACAAGTCAACATAAACGCCAATAACTGAGATTAATAAATCGATTTTCATTTCATTTATGAACTTAATCATTTCATCAATGTAATCTTTTTTTCACCATTTCACGTTAAAACGTTCAAGTTCAGATACAATTATTTTGAGATGCTTATTTTAATCATTTTAATTTATGTGCACAAAAATTATTTAAATCGAAAAAGAACTTATAGCTGAAGTCATGAAAGGTGTCCATGAAATAAATGTACGTGCATAGAATGTGCACAAGTTCTCACTCATCCCTCCTCCATAAATTTGAAATCGATAATAACTCTTATGAGGAAGATGTCTACTTTAGGTAATTACCATTAATACGCAAGTATGTAATTGCTTTTAGTAGCTGAGCATTCGTATTAATACATGTATTGCAAATAATCTCATGTCCAATAACTCATCATCCAGCATTATATTATAGACGCTATTCCTTATCAATCGGTGGATATTGGCACAATGACTAGGTGTTTAACAAAAAAAATTGATCAACTGTTTTGTAGGCTTGATTTTTGATGGCTTACTTGCTTCTATAAAGTAAAAATTTGAGTGTTAAGCGATGAAGTTCTGAGAAAACTGACGAGCAGACGATGTGATGATAGAATGATAAGATACGATGGAACGCATTAAAAAATTTGATTATCACTAATGAGATGGTTTTATTTTTGGAATTAGTTCCGAGAGGTAATAATCCTCAGGACAGCATTATTCGTAGACGAATACAGCAATATTCTTATCAAGAAACTGAATCGATTGCGCTCAGACAAGAGGTGCCTTAACGAGAGCTTAAGCGTAGGTGATTAAGTGTATGGTCAATGAGGGCTTCACGGATTTTTTGTGTAACTCACACTCGAAGTTTTGTACAACAGACGGATAGTGTTCAAAAGCTGCAACTTTCTAGTGACGTTCAGCAGCATTCGACTCGTATTCCCTCCGCAAGTGGTGACGTTTTGACTTATTCTTTTAAGTTGTCGTTTGCAACACTTTGCCCATTTCATCCGTGATGAGGGTACAAAATACAAACAAAACATGCTGAAAATTACTTTCACCTACATTAAAACACTGCAAACTGAAGATGTGAAGCTATTTTTATGTCCAGCTCACGTTACGTGCATGATAGTGCCGAATAATCTGAAGCATGATTGTGTTTCACAGGAAATATGAGAGAAATAAGAAATTGAAAGGGTAAAATTGGTGAAAAAAAAGAAAATTTTCGAAAAGGAAAATTATTTTGACACTGTATTTTTTCCACCGCTTCTTATTAATCTCTTATTAACCACCACTTCTTATTAATCTTATACTCTCTCGATGAGAAGATGTTCTTGATGGAAGGAGACGAACGATGAAGGATCAGGATGGAAACGAACGAGTTAAGAAACAATCAGGGCGATCTTAGGCGAAAATGAGAAACGATCACTGATTAATATACTCTGATAGTGCTTCATCGTGAAGCAATCTAAATGAATCAAATTCAAACTGAACGAAAACATCAAAAGCATTCCCAACTCGATTTGAAGAAAAAATAAATGACAATTTCATCAAAGTAAAAATTTTCAGAGAACGACACCATGAATTGATGTTGAGAAGGAATGATGCTTTGAATATCATCATAACATCACTTTCATAACATTTTCCAACTTATTTTGAGTAGTTCGACTAAAAACTAACGCTACTTCAACAAAAAGTAATAGTGTACAATAATGCAGTAACAGAACATTATCAGGTACACTTCATCACATTATCATTACAACGACCAGAACGGAACCTGAGGCATTACTTAAAAGGCTTCGATCGTTTTCTTGTCAAAACTCTTTTCAGTATCCAAAAAACTTTGCAATGTTTCGCTTTCAGACGCTACGATTTCTTCAACGATTATCATCTTCTTGCACTGTCCATTCACATTCTACCAACAACTGATCTTCACGTGCTTTTATCCTCTTTCCTGTTGGATGAGCTCAGATCTCTTCGCGGATAGGGTCGTTATTTTCCACTTTCCAATAGGTTTATCCATTTGAGTGACATTACTTACCTGTCAGTGGATAATGCATACAGGGAGGCCGATCGTAGCAAAAAAAAAATAGAATGAAACTTTCAGAACCAAAACAGTTTTATTCGGGGCACTTACGGAATGATGGGAGGAGGTGTGGGAGAGGAGAGGCAACTAACCAGAACAGGTTAAGAACCATTGGTCTAAAATAAATACTATCGACAAGAATCAAGATTTGCAAAGATCAATAGTTCAAAGATCAAGCCAATCCCATTATTTTTTCAAATACTGTTGAATATGATGGAAATTGAAGCGAATGTTCGACTGGAATAACAACTCAGTACGACATTCAGAGGGATTAAACTCTAAACTTTCCAGATGAACTGACAGTTAGGAATCACAATAACGTTGGTACTCGTTAATTTTTAGATTGTTATTCCACCGTGAGTAGGTGCTGATTGACAATGGAATTGATTTGGTGAGGAGATGGAATTGCAGCCATTCATATTGCGTAAACCATCTGATAAATGTGATATTTCAGTGGGTACTTCAGTGACTTCCTATTATCCAGCAACGAGTTCTTTGAATAACGACGCTTTCTTTGAGATCCGAATAAGAACGATTGAATTCCTCAAATAATGAAGATTAACGCCAAATATTCCAAAGTCAACGCATTCATCATTGATAAAAAAGATCGAAGTATGACGACGTAATCATAATTTAATAAAATATCCTTGAGATTAGTTATGCACAGTGAAATGAGATGGTATTTCTTGAACTAATATCCAGTCGTATTAACACATTTTCACAACAGCTCATAGGTGATTCGCAGAACTTCTTCACAATACTCTACACAATTTATGCAAATAGCTACTTGAGAATATGTTATCATAGAGTTTGTCACACAGAGACGTCTGCTAAAGTTGTAGATTTGGTAACGGAAACAAGGACGAGCAAGGATTGTGAATGAAGCATTGAGTGCTCGATTCAAAGTTTCGTCACTGATAAAAGTGATGATAAAGAGAACTGTTTGCTCTCAATCAAACGGTAAGGAAGCCACTGATCGACAAGAGATCATTGAATAGAGTGACGGTGCCCAAACAAAGTTTGTTAATGAAAATAGTTCGATAATATTTACAAATGGAGTATTTCGTTCATCAATGATACCATATTACAGGATGGTCCGGCACCAATTACTTAATTATCACATTCCGCGAATGTTAAATGATATCAAGTAACTAACTGACACAGTAGCAATAGTCATGCAAGGCATGTTAAAATCGTGGATAGAAAACTTCGGTATAATGCTATAGTATTGCATCATCAGCAAAGTTCTTGAGGTAGTTTTTATCAGTGAATACATGATTCAATTCAAATTAAAATGGATTTTCAAAAACGAAAGCTATGCTCGAATGATATAGGTGTGATAGTTTACTTCATATGAGATGAAGAATTAGTAAACCATTGTGTTGACAATGGGTAATGGGTGTGATGGGTAACACGAGTGAAGTGCGTAATATTTTGAGAGCATTCGAAAATCCGAACTGAGCAGATTCTGGAGCTAAACGCAATTTACGTGAAAGATGGAGCGAATGTTACCGAAACATAGCCGAACAACTTCGATGCCATTCACAGTCATTTTCTATCGTTGATTATCGAAAAGCTCAATTCCTATTCCAATAATTGCTCAAGCAAACGTAATAAATTTCAGCAATATCAGTGACTGGAACGCTCTTGTAAAGAATGCATCAGCTTTTTAGAGTTAAGTGCGATCAGGTTATTCATACTGATCATGGCGAGCAAAACAATTCAAAAAGTCCGATCTGTAGAAGGTGACGCACATTATTTCCACAAAATAACCCTTATGGATGACACGGAGGACGAATTCCTCTGTGCAAAATTTCACTTAAATTCTCAAAAAGACTTCACCCATCATCGAAACCATTGAATCAACTGATCACAAGAGGCAACGATGAGTGTTTTTAAACGATTCCG